CTCTCTCTCTCTCTCTCTCTCTCTCTCTCTCTCTGTCCGCAAATGACTTCCCTTTAATCAAAAGTCTATATCTCTCACACGAGCGACAAAATAAAATATTAATTTAAATGCATTATTGGTCTCTATTTGTCGATTATTTGGTTACTTTTTTCACTTCTCTTTATTGTTGTTTTGCAATCATTTATTGATTAACTATTTATAAGTCAATTACAATTGAAAGCACAAAATGCTTTAAAAGATACCAAATTGAGATCAAACAAAACTTTCGATTTAGGCTTTTATTAAACCACCACTAATTCAGACACAATTTTATTTATCTATAACTTAGAAAAATTATTTAAAAGCATACATAACTAAAAATGTAAAAAGTAACAAAAACACAATAATGTAAGTCGAGTTGTATCTTAATTATAATTATGACCGTAATTTTGTACATATTTTGCACTTAACTTATAAATTAATAACATTCTTAATTAATATTCATTAAGTGTTTTAGAATTTAAACAACATCAAAGAAAAACAATTAATTATTATTAAACTATTAATAATGCAAAATATACAGTAGATCAATATAAGTCAAGTAAAACATTAATTAAAATTTTTATTAATTAAACGTGTACAATTACATTATTCATAATTAACAACATTGCGAAATAGTAATCCTTTAGAATAAACATTTCAAATGTTTCAAATGTTACATTTGAATGTAATTAAAACACTGCGAATAAACGGATTACATCTAATACAATATCAAATAAATATGCTAATAAAAATTCGCGGGACTTATAATCTTATTACTAGTTTATTTATAATATTATCTGGATAACAAAGTTTAAAACTATACAATAATTAATTATATTAAATAATTTTAATATCAGAGTGGCAAAACCGCTGAATATTACCGAGTGCATTTGCTATCACTACCAAACGAACTGTCCAGGATCAATAATCGCAAAAAATTGAATCCTATATCCTATACGACCGACAATTCCGTAGCGAAGAAGCGGCCGATTCTGTTGGCCAACACTCAGGAGCGTATTTGTCAGGCTCTACACGACGGCGACGCCAAACACCTCCAGGAACTGGTGCTCGAGGGTTACGGAGACTCACTGTATGGCCGCACGTCTTGGGGCGAAGAGGCGCGCAAATTCCTCAAAGGTTTGCCGCATCTCATGGATCAGATCAAGACATTGCACGCGTCGGTCATCAAAGGAGACATACCAACCATTGAGCGCATCCTTTCGGACGACTCGTCGCTGATTAGGGCCAGAGATGAGAACGGCTTACTGCCCATACATATGGCCACTGCCCATAACCAGCCCGAAGTGGTCGTATATCTTATCACTAATTACCCCCAATGTATTCAACTTAAAGACAGTGTAAGTCAAATGCCTTAAAGTCTTATAAACAAAGTATTTTTTGTAACCACAAATTAATTGCAATATATATTACAACTAATTTATTGAATTGTTTGAATTAGTTGTGATCAATAGATATCCCTTTAAGATACTCTTTAGTCAATTATTTTAGACATTTACTGATGAGAGAGATTATCGTAATGTTATTTTTAAGCCTTTCTCTAAACCGTATAATTCAGTGATTTGTTAGAAGTTATCGAGAAAAAAAATTTATTGCACTTTTATTGACATTAATAATGTCACATTATTAACTACAATTCAGCATAAAAATTGTAGTTTATAAGATTACTTCTCCCACTGCCGTGGAATCCTTGTTTTTTGTGTTAAAATTTATACATTATATTAGCTTATATAAATTCTAGAAAAAAATATAGAGTATACATTTATATTACAATTTCTATTAAATCTATTAATTTTTATACTGTTTAAAAATAACAAATTTTAAAAATAATTTGCTTGTATTGATAACAGAGCGGAAGGACTGCATTGCATATATCGGCACAGAATAAGACAATAGATATATACAGAAAAGTGGTTGAATTGGGCGGCGATCCGAAAATAATGGACAAAAACGGCAAAACCGCCGATTCTTATCTCCGACAGCAAACAATTCAAAACTATGATTTGGTGTCGCCTTTGAATGGCAAACAATTGACTGATAATATCGCTAATACTAATGGTGTGGGCAATGGTTTTGCTGAACACCAAAACGAATGGAATCGCAGTAATAATAAAACTCAAATAAAACCGGTTCTTAATAACCGAGAAATGGGTGGAAAGGCTCCCAAACCGGCCGTCAGAACCACCCGAAGAGAGCAGACAAATGGCAACAACTTAGTGGTCGACACATCCAATGGGAAATCCACAAAAATAAGTCATAAATCTCGCAAACCATTGCCTTCAGTGGCCGGCAATCGACTTCCCGCCATAAATATGGACGAAAGTATCGTCGGATCGGACTCTAAGTCAGATATCACAAGTCAAACGACCAGTGATCAGACGAGCGGTTCCAACACAAACACCACGATATCGACGGCCAGCAGTACAATGAGTGAGAGAACCTTTGGAACCGAACAGGACTTTATTGAGGCACAGGTTGTTGTCGGAGACTCTGATGTACAACAAGTTATCGATAGTAGAGATGAAAGCGATGCTAACATAACAGACAATGAAGTTTACGTCAATTCAGAGCCATCGGCGGCGCTGCAAATGGATGAGTCAATTGTCACCGATTCAGATGTGGTCTACGATGGAGACGATGGACAACAAGAAGGCAACACAGAATCGCCAGAAGTGAGCGCCGGTCAAGCGATGGATGACTCGTCGCTCACAACTGGAGATGAATCAGAAGTAATGTTATTAAATAATGAAAAAAAAGGAGATGTAATGAATGGAAATGAAGTTTCGCCTGAAGTTAATGAGGACTCTCGAGGACTACTGTTGTCAGCTTTGGTAGAGGAGGAGAAGAGTACGAGTGATACAAACGGAGAGCAAATGAATGCACAGGAGATGAACAGCGAAACAATAATTACAGATAAGGATGAAAGGGATGGAGAGAGTAGTGACACGAATGCCATACCAGAGCCACAGGAAAGCGACGCTCAGCTCAACGCAGCCGATGGTAATGAAGCAGACATTAAGAGCAATGAAAATATTGACGATTCAACGCCAATGCAAACAATTGCCGAAACCAATGATGAAAACAATAGCGACGGACGTAATGAAGAATCGATGGCAGAGGAGGGGAAGGGAACCGAACCAACCCTTCCGGAAGAGACTGTGGTTTCAGATGACAGTCAACAACAAATAGGTAATGAAGAGCTGGTGATAAGCGATGGCGCGATTGTGAATACAAATGAAACTAATGATGCGAACAATGCTATCGACGATACAGTTGTGACGAAACGCGGTTCAGAATCGCGTAAGTCTTCGCTGTCGAGCACCGGATCCGCCGCTAAGGGCTTCTCCAGAAGTCTGTCTCAACAGTCGGTGACAGAGAATAAGGGCTCCAATAGTAGGAGAGTATCGAGAACTCAGTCCCAGGAGTCTAATGATGGGAAACAATCGGATTCAAAGCCGGGCTCTCGTCCGGGCACTCAATCGCGTCGTCGCCAAAGTCAAGCCGAGGCCACGCCGTCGTCCAGACGCTCGTCCAAGAGTTCCGCTAAATCACTGCCGAGACAGTCGTCGATTCCGGAGGTGACAGCAGACGGACCGCAAGAATTGGCGGAACAGATGACTGAGAATGTGATTAACAACTCATTGGATGAGATGAAGAAGAATGAGTCAATCGATGACTCCAACGAAGTGATTGATGACCGGAGAGGAAGCGAACCGCGACTGGAAGAAGAAATCAGTGATACGTCTGTTTTGGCTGAAGATAACGAACCGAATGCGGAAGAATTGGCACAAAAAACAACAGAACAGACCAACGATGAGAATATGACTGATAATAATGAAGTGGTCGATGGGGTGGTTGACGGCACTGACAGTACCGCTGACTTTGTATCGACCGCTCCTCAGGAGAAGGCAGACAGCGATGATATAATACCAGACAATAATAATGAGACAATCAATCAAACAGTGGAGCAAAACGATAGCCAAGAGAAAGGAGAGGAAGACGTCGTCGCCAACGAACCAGTGGTGACACAAACCAGTGATGAACTCGAAGTGAAGGACAATAATAATAATAATAATGAGGGAAATGAAGAGCAGACTAATGAAATCACTGATAAAAGTGATGAGAAAAATGACTCAAAAGAAGAAGAAGAGAAAGTAGAGGAAGAAGTGGCCGCTAATGAAGTAATCGATAACAGCGATGAGACAATTAATGGCGAGAATGGCTCACAAGTGGTCAACGATCACAACAATAACCCCAACAATGAGAGCAATAGCGAGGCGTCGACAAAGTTAAGCGCCGCCGACGATCGCCCGCCTCAACAATCGGCCAATTCATCCATATTTGACCGCTCGTTCAGCCGCCAGAGCGCCGTCAGCTCTATTAACCCCCAATCAGGTAACCATTTGTGACCACTTTATATGTATTAGCGATAATTTAATAGATATATTGACTATATTTGATATGTTTTGTCTGTATTGTATCTGATGTGACCCAATGTTCTCATATTACTCTACTCTTCCCCAACAGAACTGGCAGTCCTGTCATAAACTCCTCTCCTTTTTATTGATGTGAACTCACAATAACACAGAATATCACAGAATATTCTTTCTTATATATAATATACTATTTGTGGAGTTATTGATTGCAATGACTATTAATAATATTGTTGTTATTTAGTCGATAATAGTTGTGATAAAAGTAGATTGGACACTATTTATACTAACTTAATATTGTGCGATTATTGTGCTTGCTCCTATTTTAGATTAAACCTATGTTTAACATTTAATAATTTTTATAAATATAATAATAAATATATGAAAACTATTTAACTTTGGATTCTATAGTTTACTAATTATTGTATACAGAATATTATGATTCGCATAAAATGCTTTTAATATTTAAAATACTAGATTTTATTTGACATATAATGTGCTATAATTAATATGAACACTAATTAGCAAGTTTGAAAATTACAAACATGTTATAAAAACTTAATTATAAACAAACCAATAAAGAAATTTAAAAAGCAAATATAGATTAATTTAATTGTTATTTTCGTATTTTATGAATTTCAAGAACAAGAAACTAATTAACATTAATAGCACTTAATTACAGTTTGGCATAATTTTACCCATATCGATTATTTTAGTTTTATAATTTAAAAAAATAGTTTAATAGCAATTAATAACTTCACAAATAAATAGTTTTAATATTAAAATATAATTTTATGTGAATGTTTTGAATCGTTGTGAATGTTTATTATGTATTTTGCCGTAAATTAGCGCAAATTGCATGAATATTATTGCCATAATATAGTGAACGATATAAATATTAGAAATTAAATGAATGCAATAATTTACTAAAGAATTTATGGTTTCTAATATAATATTTCTCATATAATTTTCACTAAATATGGTGTTTATTTATAGCATATTTATAGCATTTAATATTGGGATAGAGATGTAAGTCTATAAGTTATAGCAGATAAAACTGAACACTACTAGACTTTTAAATTATTGCAAATTATGCGATAGTAATGCTTATATTGAAAGATAGTATGAGTACAGAATATTCAAAGAATATATGAAGAATATTAGAAATTATTTCATAAATTTATATTAATTATAGAAAAATAAAAGTAGTAAATAACAAAATTAAATTGACTGCATTTTGAAATTTTGATCATGTTTAATTTGGGTATAAGCGTTGCATGTTATGATATAAAAGCTAAACATTATAATGTTATTTAATTTGATTGAATTTAACGCAAATTCGCAACTATTGGCTACACATACAGACGGTCTGAACGATTTGATCGAGAAATGGCTGAAAGACGCGGATCTGTTGCGTTTGGAACACGTGGTGATCGCAGGACAGGGCGAACGACTGATCGGCAAGAAGTCGGCCAACAGTCAGGTGCAGGACTTTCTGGATCTGGTGCCCACTTATATGACCAAAATCCGTGCCGTTCACGACACTGTCATTCGCGGTAATCTCAACGAAGTGAAACACGTGCTGACCCGCAAACGCTTTGCCTTAAGTCGCGACCATCTCGGCGCCAGTCCTCTCCATTTGGCTGTACTCCACGGCCACTGGGATGTCATGGTTTATATTATCACTCAGTTTCCCGAAACGATCAACGGTCCCGACAATGTATGCCATTATTGTTGTTTTGTTTACTATAACTTAGTTTTAAATGACTTTTGTTGGCATCAAATGGACGGATAGGAAGGGAGAACTCCATTGCATTACTCGGCGGTTCTTAACGACAACCAAAATATGTTTTATAAGCGTTTGTGTGAATCCAAAGCCGATCCAAATATTAAAGATAAGGTAATTACATAATTAATCTTATTTTGTTGCATTCATGATCATTTATTATTGGTTAGTTGTTAATATTTTTGTTTAACCCATATTTTGTAGTTATAATTATTAATTTTTTGAATTATTATTATGAATAGTTTATTATGTTAAATAAAAGCACAGATTTCTTCCCTGAAATCTGTAATAGAAAATGATTGCACAAAATAATGAATGGGTTGTGTCTTATAGAGCGGATACAGCGCTGAATACTATTTGGATAATCCGGGAGTACTAACCATAAGACAATTGTTGGAGAACTATATGCCGCCCGACGATCAGCGCCGGTATAACAACAGCGCCGAAGTGTGGCGCCGACCGCCCACTGCCGACATTGAGTCCCGTTAGTCACCCATTCTCTCAATATTCCTATTGATTTACTAAATACTCATTAAATATAAAAATACTTTAATTGTATTCATTGTATGCGACGGTTCAGTCATAATCATTAAAATTCAATACAAAACAAAATTCAATTCAATTATACATTCATGCCATCAATCAATTAGAGTATCACTTCTTGTACTAAAAGGTCTGACACCCACTCCGGATGACTCGGACTCGTCCATCATCTCAAATGTTAACTATAAGCACGAAGTGGACGCCGAGGTTCACGTGGACGGCGATTCGCGACTCGGCCGCAGTGGCGGTTCTCGATTGGCCAGAATAACGGCTTACAGCCGATCCCTATCGCACTCGTCAATGAGCAACAGGACGGCCGCCGACGAGCCGTACGACGAGGACGACGACGACTTCGAGACCCTTTCCAATGATTACAAGAAGTCGTTGAAAGAAGAGAAAGAGAGACTTCAAAAGCATTTCGATCGCCAGATGTCCACTTCGGAGGCCATCTCTATGTCTACGAGAGTCGTGGATAACATACAGGATGCTCAGCCACCCATTGGCTCCAACACTATGATCACCAATGGGTCCAACAGTTCCGGCTATGATCTGACGGAGATTAAGGATGAAAACGGACAGACAGTTCTTCACCAATTGGCTGCTAAACCACACCAGAGATCCGGTCTATAAGAATATTTTCACTATTTTACTATAGAATTACTTTTAATTTAGTTATTATATAAATATATTATATGTGTTATATTTTGCAAATCATTATATAAAAGAATGTCTATTTAAATACATTTATTTATTAAATAAAATATATTAATTTTAATATTTTATTGAAATGTTGTTATTTGCTCATGCCGGAATACTATTTTAAAAATAACTATACATTTTAAAATAAATTATAGTTTAAATTATTTTACCATATACCGTAATTTATATAAACTAGATCTATTATCCTTATGATTATATAAACATAAAATCTTATTTTAAATTTTTGCTTATTTTTTCTGCCAAACTATTTGTTGTGATTCATCGCATAAAAAATACTTCATATATAATAATGAATAGTATTTTACAAAATGTTAAGTCAAGCGGAATATCTGATACCAGAAAGGGATGCAAAGTATCGCACAATACGTGATATAACTGTTGAAAACGGCATTAAAGATAATTTACTAGTTGTGGATCAATATATTTTGGACACATTTGTCAAACAGGACAAGGATTTGGTCAAAGCCTTCGCACTCGAGGGCTATAATAATCTGTTGACAGTCGTGGACGCAGAGGGACACGACGTGATCGCCACTCTCAAGAGGTACGGCCGCACATCGATGGAGGAGTTTGTCCGAGACTTGGCTCAGTTTCAGGTCATTATCACACATTATTTTACCATCATATCAGTGAATATTATATATCATTTTATTTAAATCTATGGTTCAAAACATTTGTATAAATTGTGATTCGTTTGTTTAAACTTTAAAGCCTAATTTCATTTTGCATATTACTATTATGTTATAATTCATAACATAAATCTCTTAATAAGTTTATATAAATTAATTAAAATTTAATTATTAATTTAATTTAATTATTTAATTTAATTATTTAATTTAATTATTAAATTGATAATTATATTTGCATTAATAGAAAAATAGGGACGAATTGCACACATTTATAAGACACGGTTACGCAGAAGGTGTGGACAATTTGGTACAAATAGACAGCGATCTCGTCATCGCAAAGAGCGAAAGGGGTAGACATGCCCTCCACTTATCCATACTGTTTGCAAATCTCGATATAATTAACACTTTAATCGCCACAAACCCTAACGCCGTCAACACACCGGACAATGTATGACAAATAGCTCTCTATTTCTAATTGTTTAACCAAAATGTGTTCTTCATGTGAACAGATGGGTCGGACACCACTTCACTACGCGATGGCCAGTAGTTTTGTGGAAGAGATCGGAAGGATTCTGATCCGCGCCGGAGCTAACCGGGCGTTGAGAGATGTGGTGAGTAGTAGTCATCTCTCTTTATATCACTTTTGATATATTGTTAGTAAAGAATATTCTATACAAATATGTTATACGAATGGTTTGAATGGACAGAGAATGCGAACTCCGAGCTATTATTATGTATACAAACAAGAGATCCGCGATATTAAGGAAGAGGAGAAGAATCTGACCATTTGATCCACTTATGGACTCTCAAAGAGTGACCACTCGTACGCATACATCCATTCTCTATACACCCGTCAAACAAATGAAACTCATTTCAAAAACTAGTGATATTGTCATCAATTGGCTCAACAATACAAGAATATATGTCTAATTATATACACTAAAAGTGATCATTAAAGCTGTGGTTTAATAAAAATAATGTTACGCTCTCATTGTATGTGTTATTTGTTAATTAAAAATTAATTTTAAAACTATTTTCCTACTCTTATTGATTAAAAAACATTCACTAAATTATATCAAATGAAATAAAAGCGAAATAAAAGTTTTTTTTGTTAAACTTTGCGATACTATTAGTGACACCTTTGGGTTGTTTTCAACAATCAATCAATGCTTTACTCAATAGATGTCTCAATCATTACATCAACTCATTGTCAACAAAAGGCAACAATTCATGCCTTAATACAGTCTACACTCGTTTCGATACACACTTTGCAACTAAATTAGTACACAATTAAAAGAAAATTAGTTTTGATAAATAATAAACATGTGATTGATTTATATACATTATATTTGCATACAATTAGATTTAAAAGCAATACATTATAAGCAGTAATTTGACGGTTCATAACAACTATAGTTAGTATAGACTGTAGTATAGACTCAGTCTTTCAAACGAGACGTTAGGCTGTGTTTTAGACATAGATTTTGATCACATTTTCATTGATTTCATCACTTAATAGATCCGTTGAAGTGATCGACACATCGGTACTAAACAATGGACACAACGACTGCCGCCGACGGAACCAATGGTGCGGTGAATGGGTCTGAAGTGATGGTCGGAATCGGAGGTCCGACCGATGCTGAGGAAAGCGGTGGCGGCGGAGGAAGTGGCGGATCGGCAGCGATGGAGCAGTTCCTCATTCTCGCGAAGACGTGCAAAGGCTTGTCGGCGGTTGAGCTGATCCGACAGGTGTTGGAGTCGCCGCACATCTATGTCTTCGGCGAGTTCTTGGATCTGCCGAACATCCAAGAGTTGGCCACTAATGCCGACCACAAGCCGTACTACGAGTTGCTTCTGGTGTTCGCTTTCGGCACTTATCGTCAGTATTTGGCCAGAAGTGGAGAACTGCCGGCTCTGACGGACGCCATGCGTACGAAACTGAGACACTTGACGATTGTCTCGATGGCCACTAAACGCAAACACATTCCGTACGAACAACTGCTGGAAGAGCTCGATGTGAAGAATTTGCGCCAATTGGAGGACATAATCATTGACGTGATCTACGCCAATGTGGTGACCGGCAAAATGGATCAGTTGAACAATCGGCTGGAGATCGAGCAGACCATTGGGCGCGACATCCGGAAGGACGACCTCAAGACTGTGGCCAACATTCTCAACGAGTGGTGCCGTAACTGCGATAACGTGTTGAGGAATATCGAGACACAGATAGCGAACGCCAATCACATGAAGGAAGACAGTCATCGCCAGAAGACATCACTCGATCAGCAGGTGTTGACCGTCAAGAAGAACCTGAAGACCAATCAGGATATGGACGACTCGATGGGCGCCGAGTGTGGAGTCACCGGCGGTTCGCCGAGAGATCCGCGAGAAATGAATTTCGAGAAAATGAAGAGAAACGCCGCCAAAGGGAAAGGTCTGAGAGGTTCGGGCGCTAAGTTCTGGAAGCGCGACACTTAGTCCGAGGCTCAAGTCTACTACTGAACAACACTTGTAACTCATTTCTGTTTCATTTTGTAACTCAATATTGAAATTTAATATTTAATTTATAATACAATTTAAAATGTGATTAAAAATATAGATTAAATACAAAACAAATAAACTATTATCTCTTTTTTGAACGCTTTTTGGTCATTGGTTTAGTGACCAGTTGTCCGCCGTATTCACTCGTCCGCATCTCAGTTGGCATTTGCCTATATTTTGGCCTTTTATGGGCCGGTTCTCCATCGGCGGCGCCACCACTGCTCTGGTAATCGCCGTCGGGTTGAAAGCCGTCCGCACCGCCAGTCCTCTCGAAATTGTGTTTAACTTTTTTGTTATACATATTGTATTTCTGTTGCAAATCAATGCTTTGTTGCTTCAGACGGAACCCATAGGCGCCCAACGCTTTGGGCGACTCTTGCAGTGCAAAACTTTTGGCCAAATGTCCCAAATGTAGTGATTTGAAGGGCAGGGCTTCGGTCACCGCTTTGGGGTAAGTGGCGTACGATCTGATATACGACAGGTACGCCCTTTTGGCCAAAGCCATCAGGTCTTCGTCGCGGGTGAGCGCCGTCTCGAAACACGTCTGCAATTCTGTCGCGTATTCCTCTTCAGTAAACACTTTTCGGTTAAACCTCATAAGCATTAATGTCTTCAGACATTCCTTTAGATTAATCTCCGAAATATTGATATTCAAGTCCTTTTGCATCAATTCCAAGAACTTTGTTTCGGTGGTCAATACAAACTGAACCGCATTTCCAGTGTTTCCAATGCGCGCCGTTCGGCCCACGCGATGGACAAAGTCTTCGGGAGTGGGCGCACACGTGAACTGAACGATCCAATCGACTTGCGGTAAGTCCAGACCACGAGCGGCCACATCCGTGCAAAACAATACCCCGTTTCGGGCCTCACGGAAGTCTTTAAACACTTGTCGTCTCTTCGATTGATCCATATTTCCGTGCAATTGATAAAAATTGATTGTTTTTTGTTCGCTTTTATCTAATAATCTGTTGAAAACATTATTAAAAATCATGAAATGAAAGTCAACGACGTCTTGACTCGACATAAAGACCAGTGCTTTCGACTCATTCACTGAACACTTGTCCATCAAAAGCGCCGAAAGTGTTATTAACCGCAGTTTCGGCGCCACTATTATAAAGTGTTGCTTCAGATGTTCGGGCAATACATATGAACTCAAGTCCTGATCACTGCTTATATCGATTATGCGAGGATTAGTCAAACTCATGCCCGCCAGTCGTTCCACACCGGGTGACAGAGTGGCCGATAGTAACACTGTTTGGGGTCGAGTGGGACACACGTGGTAGAGATGGTCCATCACTTTCTTGACGGACTCCTCAAAGCCGGCCTCTAAGAGTCGGTCCGCTTCGTCGATAATAAACCATTTGACACGATTCAGGTGTAGATTACCGGTGCTCTGCATGTGGTCTAATAGACGTCCCGGTGTTGTCACCAGAATATTGATCCCTTTCCTGATGCGAGCCTTTTCCGACTTTTTCTTCTCTCCTCCGCACAGATAGCCAGTGACCAGACGTTTGAAGGACTGACACAACACCGAAAAATTCTCGTAACACTGGAGGGCGAGCTCTCGTGTCGGCACTATTACCAGAGCGTAGATACCGTCTGAGCGCTGGATATGAGGTTCAATGGCCTGTAAGTCCTGCACAACTGGTACGGCAAATGCCAACGTCTTTCCCGAACCGGTCATCGATTTGATGAGAGCGTCAGAGCCAGACATGAGCGCCGGTATTGAGTCCTGTTGGACAGAAGTGGTCTCTTCGATGGACAGCCGATCGCTCAGACACTTAACCAGATATGGATGTAATGCCAGTTCATTGTATTTGTGGGACGAGAAGACCGGTTCCACTCGACTCGTGGCCTCAATCCTATGGACACAAACATTGAAACAAATGGATAAAACTTCAAGCATGTAATCAACGGATCAATTGACTCACATTTTAAACTCTGGCACCTCTTGTCTGTCATCAAAGAGTCGTGAATTGAGTTTCGCATAACTAAAGCGATTGTCCCGAGACTTGCCGTCTCTCTGTCTGTCACCCATCGGTCTCTGTCCGGGCCGTCGCCTATCCCTCGCACCCGACGGCCGGTCAAACCGTTTACTGTCCGCCGCCTTATCTGGCGATGACTTATCATCTCTTCGGTTATTATCATTGAAATGATTGTCAAAACTTTGATTTTTATTAAATTTGTTGTTATTATCGACTTTTTTGGTCACTTTTTTATTTAACTTTCGTTTGATTGGACTCTCATTTGATTGAAATATATTTAACATAAGATTTGAATCATTGATTGAATCCATGGCATCAATGATTACCATTATATCTGTAAATATAACTTAATTTATATAACAATTTAAAACAAATACAATTTAAACCAATTTAAAGCCCAAAACACGTGTTGTAAACACATTTAAAATATTTGTCAAATGCTTTCCAATAGACCATAGAATACGTCGAGTCATACATTTGCCCCCAAAACCCCTCAAAACAATTTCCCATACATTTTGTATGGATTTTCCCCTCAAATGTCACTCACATATTGTGCACACTATTTGTGGTCTATTAAGTGAATTAAAATCAGTGTAACTTATAATTCAAACAATCAGACATGTGTTGGCCATACGTTAAAAACAGAATCGAGTGTTGATTTGACTGCAAACGGAGCGCAACAGCGATGGAAAGCACACATCTGTGTGTGTAATGCATAGGTTAGGCGTCGAGCGATGAAGTGATAAGAAAACATACATTTCTATTGAATAGTTGAGAAAACATACGATTTTATAGATTATATGTTTGGCTTATGATATAACTGAGCCCTTCTGTCACACGAACAGGTCATCGAGTAGTGCCCGTCCATTAGATTATGCCACTTCTATGATTGCAACAAGCCCATTTCATTATTCCACATTTCTTACTAGGTGGCAAGAATAGTGCAAACATTGTCACATATAGTGATTAGGCTATATTTAATGCAACGCTATATATTGCTAGATTATTTATTGATTCAAGCATTAACTCCGGGCGTTTAAACTCCACCTGCATATCGATTTGCCATACATTCATGTAATACACAATAAATTGCAACAAATTATTAAAACTAATTAATAGTGTTTTATTTGATTAATTATTGAGAGTCTGTTTCAAGCAATTAATTGTTTTGCAAACGCATTGCAGGAAGAGTTAACCGAATAGACCCCGAGGTTTGCATTTATAACAATCAATAAATTACAAAATACAATTTTTTAGCATCATGTAATTTTAAAATTAACAATTTGGATTGTAAGCAATTAAAATCTATGTTACTTTAAATGAGTCAATTAAATATTCTAACAAATTGCATGAATACAAGTGCAGGGAATATACCGTAAAGTGAGTGCCAAACTGAGCCCAAACCCGGTGCGAGACGTGCGCTCACGTCTATGTCATAGCATAACATGAACTCAAACATACAATACATGTATTGATAGACAAAACTCGGACTCGAAATACATTTGTCCGCAAAAACGACTCAATTATTATCACATCTAATTGGGATGAGATCCACGACAGCATCGGATGATCACATGTGGTAACACTACTCCACACTCGACCACTCTATTGGACATCACTTGTAATAACAATCCAATAATCACAACAATAATCAACAATTGAATCTGCATTTGGTTTCTATGTGTTAATAGTGTTGTTGTTATCGTAATCTCTAATCTAATTGTTTGTTATAATAATGTTTGGCTTAATATTGAATATGATTTGCGAGCGTCTGAACGACAAGAAGTTGTTACGGCTGTCTCAGCACAAGTACTCGGCCTCCGGTACCACTCTATTGGATCCACTGATGCAGAGGTATTGGCGATGGTTTGTGGAACGAGTGGTACCTCTTTGGTGGTCACCCAACGCCATGACTCTCGTCGGTCTCGCCTGCAATATAGTCACCGCTTGTATTCTCGTCTACTATAGTCCCGACGCTAAACAGCCGGTCAGTTCTCTAGAGCTCTCTCTCTCTCTCTCTCTCTCAGTAATGCATTAATGTGAATATGTGTTGAACAGATCCCCGCGTGGCCACTGTTATTGTGTGCGGTCGGCCTTTTTATGTACCAAACTCTGGACGCGTGTGACGGCAAACAGGCCCGACGGACGAAGACATCCTCCAGTTTGGGAGAGCTCTTCGATCACGGATGCGATTCCGTCTCCACCAGTGAGTGTCACCACCAATACTACACTTTATGTCCACTCTTTGAATGGCCACTAATAGTGTGACTGTTTGAGAGTGGAGTCTATAATTGATATAATGATAATTTGAATGAAATGGTTGAATGCGTTAATATTGAAATGAATGGTATTGTCATATATAGTATTCGTGTCGCTGTCGGTGTGTCTGGCGGTTCAATTGGGAGAATGCGTTGCCCTGATGTTGATATTGCAGGTGATGGCGACGGCCCTCTTCTATATGGCTCACTGGCAGACGTATGTGACGGGAGAGTTAAAGTTTGCCAAATTCGATGTGACCGAAGCCCAGATGACCATCATTGTCATTCAGGTGGTGTCCGCCATCTGCGGCACATCCTTCTGGACGTATGAGGTATGCCTCCCGACCCTCTCTCGAGTTTTGTTACTCTTTTTATATAATTTTATTGATGTGTTTAAACCCTTGAAGTGAACATTCAATAAGAGTTTTATTTGAAACCCATTTAAACAAATGATACGATAAATATATTTGTGTTTATACTGGAAATTGTTCAGCGAATCGATTCACTCGGTGTGGACTTAAGACTCGCGGTGATGCTTATGACCGCATTCAGCTCCGTAGTGATAGGCTGTAGATATTTCAATGCAATCATAACGAAAGGCGTCGGCAAAAATGGGTCCTCCGTTGCTGTAAGTCATTGTAATCGTCACAACACACCACACATACCAGTGCTCTCTTCTTTCACCCACTTCTACCCATCCCTTCGACACACGACAAAACACACATCAATTTGTTTTAGCAAATGATCCCCAAATGAATTGACTTATCATTTATGCATGACTTGAGCGTTGATTTGTGGTTTGAAAAAAACTAAAAATCAATAATTTTTTTGGTATTAAAACTATTTCTCTACACGTGTTGTAAAGGATTGTATAAGTTTTTTTTTGTGTATTTGATGGTATACTGAATATAAGTGTATAATATACATATGTATATTATACTGTATAATGTAATTTGTATTATAATTTATTTGAATATTGTTTGGTGTTTGTATTGGGTGTTTGTGTCTAATCTATGTCTTGCCTCCGATTCCGGTTCAGATTCCATGGCTAATGCATGTGAAGCTTCAAATGATTCCCACATTTTTCTCGATAGGCAATGAATTGCTAATATTTTGCACGGAAGCAAAAGTGATACTTTCGGGAGGGGTCGGCAAAAACGGCTCGACTGTTGCCGTAAGTGTTTTGTGTCAATCATTACAATGAATGCCATAATGTGTTGTCTTCTTCTCATACAAAACATATCACAATATACTTTCAGCACATGTTTTCAATGCATATTTTATTAATCTTTTTACTTTTTCTGTGGTTTTCTGTGTATTGTTTTGTTGTTTGTTTGGCCAATGAAAGGATACGTCGATATTATCTCCTTTGATACCGATATTCCTGTCGGTGGTGTCGGCGCTGACCATATTCTTCAAGTCGCCGACCCCTGTGTTTTCGGAACACATTTGTTTATATCTGATTACGTTTGGTTTAGTGACGGCAAAGATTACCAATAAACTGGTTGTTAGTATCAATTGATTTATTATATGAATTGCATTTTACTAATTGTTTGATTACTTGTATGGTTTGGACGCAAAGGTGGCGCAAATGAGCAAAAGTGAGATCACAAAACTGGACTCAGTATTCATCGGACCATTGCTTTTATTTTTGAACCAATATTTTAACACAATTATTGATGAATACGTCCTGTTATGGATCGCTTTAGTGAGTGTTTATAATGCTATGGTATTGATTGTGACAATTAATGTGTTGTGGTTTGGCATAGGTTTATATACTATTGGATTTTCTGTACTACTCGTACAGCACGTGTTCCCAAATCGCCGATTACCTCAAAATCCGTGTCCTATCGATACAATACCAAAGGCCTCCGTCGACGCACTCGAGCCAGAGTTCGGTCAGGAATAACGGATCGGATAACTCGACTAATGGTAGGGAAAGCCATAGCCGGCACCGGCCCTACAACTTAAGGCCTGACAAACGCTAGGAATTGCAGTATTTGTTTTTGTATAGCAATTGAAATATTGAATCCTAGAATTTATTATATAATTATAGTCTCTATTATATTCCTTCTACTCATTCTCACAAACGATTGAATCAATTTATAAATTGAATTCGTTGTCGATTTTGCAATCATTTATTGACTTGAAATTCTTTAGACATTACTATATATAATAGTTAAGTAATTCCACACCAAAACAGACTAATTCATTGATTATATTTTGTGAAAGTAGTCATACATTTGAGATGTAAATTACTGTTCAATATTTATAACCGAAATAGCAATTCATTTATTATTGGGATAAATACCAAATATTTTACTCATTTGTTTAGGTTTTATTAGATTTTTTTGATTTTATATAATAAAGTGTTTATTAATTATTATTTTTTTTGTTGGGAAATTATTTTATTCATTGTTTAAATCGATTGCAATTAATGGAAAAATATTATATAAATTAAAATATAATATTTATAGAAATTGTGATTCACTTTTTATTATTGATTATTAAATGTTTAAAAATATATTTCCAAATACTTTGTAAATAATTTAATATAAATAATTGTCTTTGAATTTATGAATATGATTTTTCTTTGGAAAACTCTATTATAAACTCTATCATTAATACTTTGAATAAATAATTTGAAACAAATCTCTTAAATGCTTTGAAAAGTTATTGTTTAATTTGTTTATATATATAATTTATAACTGTTATAATTTTGTTTATTTTTTGTTGTGAAAGTAATTCCTAATTGTGTTTTCTCTGAACTCCTTTGCCTTTTAGATGAGAAACAACTCAAACCAGAGTTCGAGTCCTTATTATTGGAGAGCGATTTCGAAGAATATAATATTCAAGACTTGAATTGAATTTTTACGTGTTTTATACATATATTTAATAACTATTATTATTTATCAAATTATTCGCTAATCAAATGTCATTTACATTCTCTCTCCCTCTCTCTTTCTCTTTCTCTCTCTCTCTCTCTCTCTCTCTCTCTCCCTCACGAATATATTTTAATACCTATGAAATAATGTCATAAATCATATAGATTTTTATGCACACATGAAACAAAATCTATATTGTTTTATAAATATTTTCGGGTAAAATATTTGAAATATTTTTAATGTTTTTAATGTAAAAAAAGGAGAATATTTTCGGAAGAAATGGATTTAGTATAGAGTTTGTCAGAGATATTACTGTAACTGTGATAACAAAACAATATGTGCCCTTTTAGTAGCGCTTTATTTACAGTATTAATTAATTGTTCAATTGGTTTATAAATTGATATTAATTTTTGCGCAATGAATATGAGCTTTAAATTAATTAATTTTTTATAAAATCATTATTTAATGTAATTATAAAGCGCTTTGTGAGTCATTTTTGCTGTTATTTAATACTTATAAGTATTTGCCATTTGACTAAAAACCTATCCATAAAATCTCAGAAAAGACTTAATTTTATTCAATACAATATTTGATGCAATTTTCTATTAAATATTAATTTTTAATTTGTTTACATTTGAAAACTATATTAAACTTATGGCTAATAATAATAATAAAGTGAACCAAATTTATATAATTTATTATTTGATATCATTCTTCATTGGTATATATTTCACATGTTATACACTGTCGACTGGATTTATAAGCCGACCGATCGATCACTACTGTTCGCCTCCCTTTGACTTCGGAGCCGAGCACTGGTCACCGAAGGACTGGAAACAGTATGCCATACCCTTCTGGGATCAGATCCCAGATTTTCTCAACCATTGGCCCATCAAAGCCAACACACAATCCCATTGTCTACAGTTCATGATTCGCCAGAAATCTGGCAATTCTTCGGATCACTATGAGATCAATTACTCCAGAGATCATATCATCGAGTGCTCTCACGGCTGGCATTATACCGACCATAAGATATCAATCATATCTCAGGTATAGTTTGTATAAATATGTTAATTAAATGTCTGGTAATTATAACTTAACTCCAATTTTAGTTACAATTAGTTTGCGACAGAAAATGGATTCTCGAGATATTACCCCTAATATCAAGCGTCGGATTTACTTTATCTGTGATTGTATTGTATTTCGAAAGCTATTGGTTTGTCATATTATCGTCGATAACAGTTATGGTGACAATGAATGTAATTCTAAGTTTCATAAACAACACCACACTATTCCTGTCGATGCGATTTCTGTCGGCGCTCTTCTTCGGCGCCAACTTCTATACCGCCGTTGTATTGATATCTAAACTAAAAGCCATCGCCGAAAACCGATTCTATGAAATACTATTCTTGTGCGGACTCATGGGCTCGTTGTTTGCCAAAGGAATCAATTTATTGATCATTTATTGGTTTAAAGATTGGAAAGTTGTGCACATTTTGACCACATTTTCTATAATTCCGCTCATATTCTTGGGGTGAGAGTAATGTGTTTTACAACATGTTAAGTATGTAATCAAATAATATTGTTTAAAATTAGGATTATTTTCTTCAAACTATATCTCAATGATTATCAAAACATCAATTTTGTTGAAGAATTGCATTTAACGTCACAAAAGAGAGACAAATGTGGTGTAAATATTAGCCCAAGAATTCAAATAATTTTGTAATTATCACTACATCTTAATATATTTCTATGTGTTTTGTAAACTTTTAGCGTTTAGTAATTAAGTTACAATTAATAAATTTATCTATGATTTTAATGGTTAGACTACTGATGGCATCGATTCTGTATTTCATTGAAGATTGTTTCCAAAACGAGAAGTTAGAGAAACACCGGAATTCATTTGATCCGACATTTATATTAATACAAACAGCGAATTGTGTAATGATTTTCTTCAGTAAAAAACGAATTTCGCTTAAATATCCCCTTTTATTGGCATTTGTATTCATCGCTTTGAGTACAACTTGTTTTACATTTTCCGGTAATAACCAGAATATCTGTCATTAACTTAATATCTATTTATTCCTTAACTCGTTTAATCGATATAATTATTATAATTTTCAGATCTATTTTCGTATAAATATAAGGGAATTGTCGCCAAAATTCTTGATTATGTAAATAAGATCGGAATTTCGATAGCATTTTATGCCAATCTGTTTGCTTTCATTGAATGTGTTCACGAAAGACATATTGTATTTAATTTATTTGCTATCAATGCGGTTGTCTTATCGTATGGATTATCGCCACTTATATTTAAAATTGTAATCACTTTTTTGTCAATATTTCATTCAGAAAAATTATATATATTTTTCCGATTTATTATTAGAATGAAATTAAACCATGGTTAACAAATCTCATGGCAGCGTTGGTATCATTGATGGCTATAATTATTTTATTATACAATTTATTCAAAGCTTATAAACAACTCAATGCAACTACTGATGAAACGGATAATACGAATAATAGGATTCTTTACTCTAAACACAACTCAAATGACGACAGAATAATCATTATTAACAGTGAAAATATAGAGTAAACTCTCGTTATAGAGAAGTGTATAAAAACTTTCTTATAAATTCATAATTATATATACAATGTATGTAAAGGTTTGGAAATGTACATAATAAGTATTTGTTGGTTCCTAAAATGTTCCAGATCACTTATGCCATTGTGTGTATATGTGTTGTGATACACAATAGGTCACTACCAGTGATATTTGCTCAACCGTTTGGATCAACAATTAATTAGCAAACAATTGATTTGTTTTTCACCTGAACTTTGTTTTTTACACTTGAAATAAATAATGTATTTATACAATACTGGTATATTGTGTATCCAATACATTCTTGTGGATTTAAAAATAACTCTTTAATGTCAAATATTTTTACCAATTTATAGCTTATAGTGTTTTTATATAAAAATAATATTAGAAAACATTCATATAAATTGCGTTTACGTATTACATAACAAGTATTTTGTTTTCGCAATAGTATATTATCAAACAAAATGTATGAATAAATTATGTTTCAAATTTTTCACAACATATTAATCAAAAAGAAAGGGGGAAATCAATTATCTGAACAAAATCCACATTTCAATGAATAGTTATGACCACAAAGTTATTCACTGAAATTTCATTCAACTTTTATTTGTTGTTTTTTAAGTGGAAAAACTTTGCAAAACATGTATAAGTGATAGAAAATTGTCCCGAAAAAAGCCAATAAAGGAAAAGATGAGCACCACTTTCACAGACCATTATCTCTAACTATCATCAAAAGAAGAAGAAGAAATGTGTGGTTCACTCTTCGCACACATACATACACTTTACCTGTCGGTGCGCTCTGAGGCTCTGGGGTTCTTCTCCTGTATCAATATGTTTGTGCCCTTTCAGGAGAGAGAGAGAGAGAGAGAGAGAGAGAGAGAGAGAGAGATTGATAGTAAGTAGAGATGCATACCTGCGATGTCTTTGCCCTCAACGCCAACTCCTCCGGTGGTGTGTCTCCTCTGTTATGCATATATAAAGTGCACACAATTTGAAGTTCAATAACAGGTTTTAAAATGTATGAAAAGTTCTTTAACTAGAGATGTGTTTTTAGACGATTACTTCTGGTGTAAGTTATCGGAGCGTTCATTACGTGTGAATGAAATGCTAATCACCAGAAAAAGTCGGAGTGAATCCTCTCGAGTGAGTGAATGAATCAAATTCACTACATTTTCTCTCTCCTCTCGGATGCATATAATTGCAGACATCAGTCACTTAACGCCAAATTTGTTTTCTTTTTATACTTCAATTTTCTTACTCTTCTCTCCTTCTCTCTCATCGATACATCAAATCATATATTAAAATATATTGAGTTATTATACGTTATATAATCTGTTGGCCAATCACCAGCACTACAGTAATTATGGGACCGGACGGCTGTACCGGTAATTACTGTCCGATCGTGGACTCTGTCAACGCCATTACACTAATCGATGGCATTAATAATGGTATTAATAATAGTAATAAATGTGTCCAACAATTGAATGGATCGCTAAATAATAAGTGCGGCGAAGAATCGGTGAATAATTCTGTGAATGTAAGTAAACTTATTTCATAAATATTATTTCAATTAATATAACTTTACGTTCGGATGTTTGCTCTCACTCTCAACCAAAACTTGTCGCCAATTCATTCACTCATGAAATATATAATTATTTTTTTCAATCATACAATCAATAGATAAAAACTAATCGGCAAACAAACGGACAAACTGTTAAACAACCAATACGTAAATGCAATGGCAAAGAGGTTCCGCCCCTATATCTGGAGCTATTGTGTTATCTGAGTTACGCTGTGTTAATACTATTCGGATATTTGCGTGATTTTCTCCGACGGCTGGGCTTAGAGAAAACCCGATCGGCGGTCGAAGTGAACCGAGAGGTTAGTCGACACCCAATTCATTATGTATTAATATTACAATCATATGATTTTCTCCCACACCAAGGGTTACGTCCCGTTATACCAAAGTTTTGAGAGTTTTTTCACCAGAAATATCTACCGGCGTGTGTGTGACGGATGCAATCGGCCCATCACTTGCGTTCCCGGCGCTGTCATCGACGTCATGGATCGACTCACCGACGACTATAACTGGACTTTTAAGTAAAACAAATAAATTTGTTGCATATTTTGGTTAACCATAAATCACTTGAAACAACAAACAGACTCTAAAGTCTTTATTTTATGTGTCACTCAGATATCCGGGAACGACAACCCGTGCCATAAACATGGGTTCGTATAACTATTTGGGTTTCGCCGAGAATAGCGGCACTAATGTCGATATAGTGGACAATATCATCCACAAGTATGGGGTGGGTGTGGGCGCCACACGTCAGGAATGCGGTACTTAAACAACAATTGATTTATACATTTATTATTATTCACAAAAGAAATAACAAGAAAATTAATGTTCGTTTGATTTGTACTCAAATATTAGGCACAATAGATATACAGAAGGAATTGGAGCGCCGTTTGGCACAGTTTCTGGGCGTCGAGTCTAGTATTGTGTTTGGTATGGGATTCGCCACTAACTCCACAAACATACCAACTCTGGCCGAAAAGGGATCACTGATTATCAGCGATGAGTACAATCACGCGTCGCTTATACTCGGCTGCAGAAAGTCCGGCGCCTCTATCGCTGTCTTCAAACACAATGGTATTCATTATTTGCTATCAAATAAGTTATTTACAAATATTTGTAATACTTTTGTTTTGTTTAAAATTTATATAAAAGATATGAAAGACCTGGAAATGAAGATAAGACAGCATATAATCAGTGGTCAGGAGAGGACGCACAGGCCGTGGAAGAAGATTATCATAATCGTTGAGGGCATCTATAGCATGGAGGGCACAATCATAAACTTGCCCGAAATAGTCAAATTGAAACGCAAATACCGGTGCTATGTATACCTGGATGAGGCACATAGTATCGGCGCCATTGGGCGTCGGGGGCGCGGAGTGTCTGATTATTTTGGCTGCGATCCCAAGGATATAGACCTATGGATGGGAACGTTTACGAAGAGCTTCGGCGCCGCCGGTGGTTATATTGCCGGTCGGAAACAGACCATCGATTACATAGCCATACACTCACAGGCGGCCACTTATGCCACATCCATAGCTCCGTGTATTGTTCAACAAATCATATCTGTTATCAATGTTATTATGGGTGTCGACGGCACCGATGATGGTATGGCACACAACACCACCCGATTGTGAGCTTAAACTCTTACGCTCTTCTCTTTTTAGGTCAGAAACGCATCGAACGATTGTCCAGAAATGCCAGATATTTTCGCAGTCGACTCAAACAAATGGGTTTCGTTGTCTATGGGAACGACGATTCGCCAGTGGTTCCCATTATGATCTGCTTCTGCTCTAAGATTTCGTAAGCAATACAAGATATAAACATTATATAAACCAAACAATAAATGGTGTTTTTGTGGTCAGTGCTGTTGTGCGGACAGCGTTCCAGTGCGGCATCGGTACAGTGGGCGCCGCATTCCCGGCCACACCGCTCACCACCGGTCGCGTGCGCTTCTGTGTGTCGGCCTCTCATACGAAAGAAATGCTCGACAAAGCGCTGACAGTTATGGATGAGATTGGAGATCAAGTGGCCATTAAGTACTCAAAGCAACCAAAAAGCTGTGAAAAAATTATTTATTAGCAAAAATATGTGAAGAGAAAGAAATGTTATTTTATAATTCGTTCGCAAATTTCAATATTCATTAAAAAATTGTTTATAAATTTAAATAACTTATTAAATGTAAATAAAAAAGCAAATATAGATTTAGTATAAAATTCGTAAAAATCACTTATTTATATATAAAACACAAATTTCATATAAATCTTGTTATCATTCGAGTTATAATACATTATAAGTTACATAATATGAATTTAAATTATTTTAATATAAATGAACTCATTTTGAATAAAGCGTTATAAGAATTGACATCCAATTTACAAAACATTTTGTATATTTCGTGTTAAATAGTACTATAAATGTATTGTAAATTACAATTTGTAATATAAATAATTCATTAAAATTACATTTCATTTGATAACATTTTAAATCATTTTGAATTATTTCAACAATCTATCAATAGTTAACATTTCATAGAGATATCACACAAAATACTATTGCTTTTCTCACAAAATACAAAATATTTTATAATTTAAAAAATTTCAATAAAAATTAAATTTAATTTAAAATAAACTCAATATTGATTATAATATATTGGATTCAATGAGTGTTTAATTAATTTTGGTGTCATTTATAGTTCAAGAGTCGCACCGTTTCTATCAAAGTGTCACAAATTCTTGCGTTTTGTTTATCGTTGTAGACATAGTTAGAGATGTGTTGAAGCAGTGCTATTGTGGCCCTCATTGGGGAACCGGTATAACAACTCGTCTCCTCTTTCTAAATAAATCACAAAATTTAGGCCAATTTTATGCACAATAATTCACTCAATAATTAAACAACAAATTAAACCAAACAAACAAAACATACCAATGATTTCAACCAAAATAAGACATTTGTAGGCAGAGTATGCATCTGTTCCACAGAACCGTATTTATCATTAATGCCGTTCAAGACCCGCATTCCGGCCACTGTTAACAACTCTGTGCCCAAACTCACGCCGTCTACCACCGCTGTAATTGCCTAATGAATGATAAACCTATTAATAAAGTTTCAAACGCGTTGTCATTAATCAATACGAAACCTCTTCGGCCAATGGATCGCAACCGTAAAAATATAATTCGTAGACATATTTGCGGCGAATCTCATCGACATTTAGCTCCCATTCTCGCGATAGAGTGACTGCTTTCCCGAACCATTTGTTTGCTTCGGAATAATGCTTTGATTGCTCGACAATGTATTGGGAATCGGAATCTAATCATTAAAACAATCAGTACTCAAACTATGAGCAAATAAAGTCAATAACAATACCGGTTTCGTTATGTACGGGCAGTGTCTGGACAATAGCCGAAACGGAGTTTAATAAAAATTTAGTCCGCCGTTCAGTGAGACTAATGTTGGCATTCGTGGACACAACGGGAAATGTATGCAACTCTTTGAATAAATATTGTTGTACTTCAATGGGAAACAGCGACAGAGGTTTAGAGCTCTTGAGCTGAAAAATGACAATAAACTGTATGATTGTCGCCAATCGGGAGTGTTCTAAGACTAGGGCCCCGTTGGCTATCTTCTGATGCACGGCCAGCACTACCAGTGGAACCGATTGATTGATATTGTGCTGAGCGAACGCCGGACTGGCTGTTGGTTTCCACCAGTCGTCCACCGAGAAGAGTGGCATCGGTTCCATCTCTGCCAACATATTGGCGTTAAGGATCAGATCGAAGAGCTGTTGGGCGAAGTTGACGAACGACTCGATGCGGTTCTCATTGATGCCCAACTCCTTCTTGCAAATGCGATCCTTTGGCGTTCGGCCCATCTTTTCCATCAGTTGTGACAAACACTCAAACCGTTTCAATACGTATGTCTTCCACATAAGACACGCCGCGTTGTGTTTGAGTACAGCACTCGACACAAAGTTCAAGTACTCGAGCGCATCGGTTAGCGAGTTGTCCACAATTGACGGATCTTTATTCCAGCGAACCATTAGTTCCCAACAACTGTTCACCAGAAGTACGTCCGACTCCAGACTGTTGGGGAAGCGGCGCCGCAAATGATCGATCAGCTCTGTTGTCGTCTTAATGTCTAAATTGTGGCCCTCGAGAGCTTCCTCTCCCATCACCACATCGTCCACATCTGGATCCGTCTGTTGATTGCTATCCGACAGTATTGACGGCTCGCTAATCAATTTGTTGATAATATCGGGCATTATATTTGAATTGATGGCCCATTTGGCCACTAATTCGCTCACAATTCCCGGACCGCTGCCCAACATATAAGACAGAGAAATGTTGGGCCCATTGGGTTCGTGGGACGGATCCTCTTCCGGATCTTCTGCGCGATTGGAATGCAATAACATATCCAATAGAAACAAATCTTCCAATTGTTTAATCAATAAATTAAGGCTTTCATTGGCGATATGAAGTGTTTCCCACTCTGTGTCCGCACTATTGTCTAATGGCTTGGATTGGGCCGTTTCGCGACCGTTGGCCGCTTTTATCACGTGAACGGCTATCAAAGCGGCCATTATATTGTTTGAGTCGCATATAATCTCAAGAATATCTGTCCATTGATTGGAAAGCGAATCTGTTTCGTCATCACATGTTTCAGTCATAATCATTGTCTCGCTTTTATCCTCTTTGGTCAGAGCCATCAACACATCCAATGAATTATTGAAATACAACCAACACTTCCAGTAATTACACGATTCTAATGAAAGCCATGCTATGAAGTATAAGTTTAACAAATTTGATGGCAAAATAGCGCTCGATTTGAGCACTTGTTGTAAATTCAAATCATTTGTTTGCAAAAATGATGAAAATAGAAATTGACTCAAAGCTAGTAATTGTTTGGTTTGTGTTTTGTCAACATTTACATCAATATGGAGTTCAATGGGAACATCGGTGTAGACTTCTTGGTCACCACTTTTAACAATATGATTAGAATAGAGAACAAATTGAGACAATATATCGGCGATTGTGGCAACAGTTTGATTGGCGTCATCGGCAGCGGTAGTAGCAGTACTTCGACCGGTGATCAGAGCGTCTTTAAAAGCTAAAAATGAGATAATTCTGGCGATATCACTGCCCGTCCAATTCAGACTCTCCATCAGCTCCTGTATGTCAGGCGAACACAAACTCTCACTCATGTAACTATTGTCTGGGCTTTTGGTTTCAATGGTTTCGTACAAACGACACAATTGTATAATCCGTGAACACATTTGAGCGATGAGTTTGTTTTCAAAATCTAATTCATTTCTCTCCAAACTAATCATCAATTGTTCCCTCAGTTTTGTGGCAGTGATTTGAATGAGTCGGAGGTCTGGCGTTGCGCACAACTCCTTCAGACAGTCTTTGCGGACTTCAGCCGTTTTCAACATCAAAACCAATTCAACCACTTTGTCGACAGCTATTGATTTGCCACTAGTTTTCAACACATTCTGCAATTCCCTAAACAGATGCAAATCTCGGGTACGTTTGCTGTTGGGATCGGTGAGAGCGCACAGGAAGGGAACCTCTATATTATAGACAACACCAGTGCTGTAATCAAAGAGAAAACAGCGACTCTTCTCGAGATCGATCACATCTTTGAACTGTTGGATGAGTAGAGCATTCAATCCCATAATAGAGTGCTGACAGTGAATCAGTCGACAAGTCTTGCCGACGTTGAAGGCGCCCACACGCGGACCCATTTGCGTGCACCAGATCTCAAGGATACCACGTTTGGGCGCGTATATGACCAGAAATGAGGCCCGTTTGGTGGCGGGTCCGCCATTGGGCTCCTCTTGCACTTCAATCCAACCGACCTGAGCGTCGCGGTAGCCCTTCCACATGCGTACGGCCAGCCGTGCGCTCACATCAATCAGAGTCACTCTCCCGTAATCGTCCACAACGGCAGCCAAACGCTTGTTGGGCGACACTGTCATCGAGAGAGCGCGTCGTTCGTCAAACAATCCCAACTTTAAGGGTAAAACTGTGGCCGACTCTGATTTGGGATCCTTTTCGTCGTTGCCTTTGTTGCCGCCAAACAGACCTCCAAATGGTATTATGTTTTTCATTTTAGTGACCATCGCTTGCGTTAATTCGTTGATAATGGCGGGCGTCGGCTATAGACACAAATGATCACAAATTTGTATCAAAAAATACTAATAAACACTAATAGATAAACAAAATTATACCTCAAATGCGGTATAAAAGCCAACGAATGGATTTTCGCCGCAAGTGATCAATTGGTCGGCAGAGGTGGGAAGAGGTGGCGGCTGTCCATATGGGCCTTTTACAGAGTGAGACACATAACTATCGTAAACAGTGGTGGAAACGGGTCCACACAGACAACAGTCCTGAATGCGTTCACTTTCGTCGAGTTTCCATTTCTTATAGTTAAACGACAGGTCAGAGCCACTGGTGCTCTGATTTTTGGCCAAACGATTGCGACACAAACGCAATGTCTGATAGAGACTGAAACCGTCGACAATGACAACAGTTGTCGTGTGAATCACTAACAGTTGGTCCGAATCGGATGAGGAGTTGGCCCGGAATGTGTGACACTTGATGTCAATGATGGGCTCGTCGTGAAGGCATTGACTTAACAATAGTTTCCCGCTTTCGGTATAAATACGGAGATAACCGGAAGAGAAACCGATAATAATGGCCGTCCAGTCGTTGAACGCGAACGAAGACTTTTGTTGCGATACAATGGGAACCAATAGAAGTGAAGTGATCTCTTCGAACAGGTCCTGACCGGCGGTCAGTTGTGTCTCAAAACTGAGCTGCAATTCGCGGCCGCAGTCGGCGTTGGGATCACTCGCGGACGCGTTGTCCGAAGACTTGAGTTTATAAACGGCTAAATGGCTTTGTTTGGCGAATGCCATCAAATCGGATAACGGACTGAATGTGACCACCGATGCCATCAACCGTTGCATCCAATCGCTGTCGTCGACGGCCAGCGACTGCTCGTCGGCTTTGTCCAAGAAGTGACTCGTTTGCCAATTCCAACGATTGTCGTAATCGTCATCTGTTGGTCACAACAAGAAGACAACAATGGGATCAGTTTGTGGTGATGTCTGTCAGACAACAAACCTCTGTTCCTCTCTTGAATGGTCTGATAGTCGGGAACCAGTATTTGCTTCAATGCCTTCAAATCGGTTAACACACAGAACTTGTTGAGAGTTGTGGTCATGTCTTGGGATGTGATCTTCGGCTCAAAACTCAATCAAAACAAACCATAAATCGAGTCATCGATTGAACGCAACAAACATTTGCTCTCATATGACGTCATGAAACGCATATAAACAGTACGTCTTATATGAATGAGTCATCGCATCAGTCAATAGGCATAACACATGACATTTACATCGCTTTCAATTAACGTCAATGCAATGCAGTGTCAAGTGTGACAACATTTATCACGTTTACATCATTTGTCCGCATATTTACGGCAATATTGTCGACGGGAATAGTGTTTCGCATCGGGTTTCACACAATCAATGGTTTCCCGTCGACGGGAATAGTGGGGGTAAGCGTCGGGACGGGTAAGCAATGGAAACCCCTTGCGTTTGGGGTTCTGCGAAATTGCGGAAAAACGTAATGTTGTTTACGAATGGTTTGTGATATTTTAGCGCCGAATGGATAGTGTTTTGGCATTAAATGCGTTAAACGTATTGAAAGTGTTGTAAACAAAAGGCTTTCATCACTCGTTTCGGCGCTTTTGTGGTCACATTTGCGGCCAATTCTTGTCATTGTTTCGCCGTTTTATTCAAGTCTTTATCCAAAGGTTTTGTTGATATTTATCGGCAAAACATACGATCGCAACACTCGTCACACGAACTGATCCCAAGACTTGCTTCAGAAGCGATGATTTGTGTGAACGCGGCGTCCAATGACTCGAACGAATCGGCGGTCAGTTATTCCCCGCTTTCGATGTCGTCGTCTTCGCCGGTGAAGCCGTCGCTGGCCATCAAACAGCTGTTGGAGAGTCCGCTCATCAAAGCGCAGCCATTGCCGGAACCGATGCGCGAAGACTCGCCGCCACCGACGCTGCGGATGGGATCGCAGGGAAGTGACACTGAGTTGGACACGAATCCCGACCTCGACGTCGTAATGGTTTGCGAGTCTCCCGACCCCACGCCTCAGCCCTCGCAGGACCTGTTGTACGGCGACAACGGTGTGGACGGCGTGACCGAAGTGGCCGACAGTCAGACTTCGTTGACGGCCGACACGGAGGACAACAACTCGAATGAGTCGAATCCGTCGGTCGAACGCAATTGTCTTCGACGGCAGACATCTGTTTGTGTGAATACTGTGAGCAAAACCTCTTCGCCTCGAGCTCTGGCTATACTGAAGAACGCCATCAAAACCTCTTATAATAACAATTCTAACAAATTTTGTGATAAACTTATTGTTAATAATAATAACAGCGAAGACATGACCGCAACTGCTTTGAGCGCCACTAAGAATAGTCTCGATTTGATTAACGGCTGTCAAAGTCCGCCGAATCACAAACTGATCCGAAACTCTCCATTCAGTCGCGGTTCGGCTCTTCTGAAGGCCGCCAAAGAGAGAATGGAGCGAAAGGAGAGCGACAGGAGTCCCAAAATACTGACCAATTTGTTGATTGAATCGGGGTTTGACCGGCAATTGACGGGTATATTACGTAAACACGAATTGCAATCTTCGCCGACCAGTTCTGGCGAACCGAAGCCCAAGAAGAAGAAAGTGCTGTTCGCCGAACCGGTGGTCAGTTCTAAACTCGAGTTCAAACTCTCGCCTTCGCCCACTTGTAGCGGCACAGCCGACGAATCGGGCGTTCGGCCGCTTTCGCAACACACGTCGGCCTTCGGATCGGCCATCGATTGCGGTGTTGGCGAAGACGGTGTGCCGACTGTCGTACAAGACATGAACGACAAGAGGCGTAACCATTTGGTCCATCAGAACAGTACGTTTGACAAGGAATTTGACGCCAATTCCGTGGACTCGAGCGAAGACTCGCAAAACAGCGATCAGATGCCGATTCTTATGACACAAAAGTTTTTCGCCGCCGACGAAGACGAGTTTCTGGAGCCCAGTTGTGGTCAACAACGAAACCCTACATATGACGACTTTGACGACAGCTCTGACGTTAATCTGAGGGTAATTTGCTGTTTGTCTTACTATGGATTTGTTTGTGTTATCTATTGATTATACGTTAACTTATTTTTGATCATTTGAAGAATACGTTAATCTCATCGACGAATGACTGTCAACAGGACTCATACGACGAGCTATTCATGTGTTCGCAACCGATGCCGGAGAGTACGCGTATTGAATGGACAGATGTCGGCATACAGACCATTCCGATGGGTGAGAGCGCCGACACCTATGTTGAGGACCCGATAGTGAACGTACCGATGAGGTTGAGTCTCGTCAAAGAGCTTTACCACATGTTTGGCGAATTCATTGAACAGCACTCACAGTCTTAGCGTCGAGTATCTGTTTCTATGAGTTTTAATTTATGTCTTAATATATAAGTGAAGCAAACAGTGAGTTTAGAAATACAATTAACTTTAATTAATTTTAATTCAAATGTAAAACATTTTTGAAAAAATAATACACAAATACTTTACGCAACAAAACCAACAAATCTGCTATATTTTTCTGTCTTTCGACTAAATCTATACAATACATATGAAACACAATTACTATTAAATGTTAATAAATAACACAAAACGTTATTTTTAATATGATATGAGATTTTAAGTGAAAGTGTTTTCTCAATGAGAAGCAAACTTTAGGTCCAAAAGTAGAGTGAATTAAATCATGTATTTTTGCTGACCGTATATATCGTAGCGTTGGTTTAAATCTAGTTTTATTTATCTCTATTTAAATTGTATTTTTAGTTTGTTTTTTCTGGATCTCCTCTCTTAGATCACAGCACACATCGAGACTGTGGTTATCTGTAATTTATTTTTGTCTCGATTTTCCATACATTTGACCATTTTTTGGATCAAATACTCTTTATTTCATTCACATATCCTTTACTTTGTATTTTAAACATGTTTTTTAATTTAATGAGTTTGTAATTAATCCTTATATACAGTTTGCGTTGTAATTATTGTTATTATTATTTTTAATGAATCAATAATTTACTTCATAAAAATGCAATTCAATCTCTCCGTCAAAAAAATGAATTTTTATTTTTCATTTGATATTCATTTTCATTGAATGAAATTTTCTTTTGAATTTTAGACAATAAATACGAAAAGAAATAAAAAATATTATAAAAATGTATTATAAAATCAATAATTAATGCATTTATTGTACGAAAAAATATTTAATGGATTTATGAAATAATAAAATGAATGCAAAAATAGTTAAATTGTTAATCTGAAAGCATAGTTAACTATAACCATAAGTTTAATCCTTATGTCAACACTAATCCTTACTAAAACACTAATCCTTTTGTTGTAAAATAGGCCAAAATAAACGTACAAATAGTAAAAATATGGCTAAACGTGTTAAACATGGGCTAAACATTGGTTGTATATGCGTAAAAAGATGACCATGGTCAATTAGGATACAATAAGTTAGCGCAATGGTGCGAATTAAAGGGCCATTTAAAGCGCAGCTCAAGCAACAAAAAAAGTCCATTTAAATGTCAAATACCAGCAAAAAGTTTGGTGTTTAAAGTTTGGCGCACAAAGTGTGCGCTGAGCGCAGCCAATGGCAGCCATCGCTTGGCCGTCACGTGGGGTGCGATGTGTGCTGTGATTGGCTGTTGCGGTGGTGGCGAGGGTTTGGACGGAGTCGGAGCGTGAGGTGCAGTCGTGAGCACTGGTATTGTGTGAGAGAGAGAGAGAGAGAGACTGAGACTTGACGTGAATGTATAGACTGGAGACGAGGCGTAGGACTGAACACAATAACCAACTAATCATATGATTTAGTGATCGCTGGCATCGAGTTGTCAATCGGCGGACAGTATTGCAGACATATATGAATTGCTGACAACACAAGTGGTGCGGGTTTTTGGACGCAATGATCGGGTGATGAGCCCTACGATCGCCGCAAGTATTTCACACACTTCTCAATCGTTTGGTTGATTTGATTGGCGATGATTGAGACAAACCCTGTCATCAAAGCCGTACGACCAGAGCGTAAGCACATGACTACAGACACTCATGGTATGCACTCATCACCGCAAACACATGCCATACACAGCCCTAACACTTCCCAAACCCTATCCATTGTCACACATAATGCCAATTATGTGACTAAACAATGAGAGCGCATAAACACTACATTTTCTCTCTTTCTCTCTCTCTTTGTCTAACTCTTGGCTCGTGTTTCGCGAAGCAGTGGTGGACTCTTTGTCGGCCACCGGTCTCTCGTCCCGCAAATGGCCGGTCAGTGACCACCGGCTTGTGTTGAAGCGGTCGACGTCTGCCGACTCCGTACTGATGGCCGACGCGTATCAAGTGATCGGCGGTTCGCTCTCTGCGCACACGTATGGCCTCCGCAGTGATCAGTGCACTCAAGTCAGTACTCATTGTCTTTAACCGCTAACCTCTTTGTCCTATCAATCGATCCTTTGTTAGTCTTAATTATGATATGTATTGATGAAAAGCGATGTCAGCCTAAGAAGTGTAGTCATTGTTCTCATAGGCATTACATATGTTTGAGCGCTAGTCTCTAAGACTGGCGTCTCATTACTAGATGACAATCAGTGGTATAAGCAATGTATAGACCGATTGTCTTTGCGGTGCAGACCGAGTGGTGCCCAACCCTATCAGGGATTCCCTACCACTTCTTGATAGTCCTTCAAAATGTCGATATAGTCTACACTTATTGCATAGACTTAACACATAATCTGTTATATAATAGACATAACTTATACCTGTGTATAGTGTGTGGTATATGTAGTGAAGTATTTCTCTGTCACTAGTTATTTTGTTTGAAGAGAAAGTGTTTTTATCAATCAATTAATCATTTATTTATAGAAAACATATATAATTTTGTCGCAAATTATTATAAGCATTTGTGTTGAGAAATACAGTAGTTTTGCCCTCTATTTGAACGCAAGCCATGAATTTAGTTATCCCATCGCTCTTTCCTCACTGCAAGCTATTCAACGCTTGGGCTCTAAGCGTATCTGTCATCTCATCTCTTATATCACGGTTTCTTTGCAGACACCACAAGAATGGGAAGAGTCGGACAAAATTAGATTTGAATCCACATTAAAACAGCATAAAACTGAGGTATTGTTGCAAATTCATTAAACTTACAGACAGTATAACATTGAAAACTATGTGGAAATTGATTTGACAAAATTATTTCTATGGTTTGTTTGACACGAATAGTCAGTACAAAATACAGCGCTTCAAAGAAGATCTGATACCAGATTTGTATCCAACAAAGACCAGAGCACACAAAGCATTGGTAGGTTTACATGGGTTGGGACGGGAGTGCAGACAGCCTTTATATGTAGTGATACTTTGATTGACAACAATTATAACTCATTAGAATGTGATTCATATAAAGCGACACAAGTGTTGGTTACGAGTGGTGTCAGTCCGACGAAGAGCGCGACAAAGTCGGGTCCCATCACTATTCCAACGAAACTATGCGTCGAAAACAGTCGTTCGGCCAATAGTCTCGAAGAACTCAATCAGGTCTGCCATTCACTCACTCTTGTGATCGGCTTTTGCTTTCAATGCGTTTCTCTTGATTAGGAAATCGAGAATTTGGTTCTGAAAGGAATGAATGGTTACGACAACCAAACCCTATGTGATAAAGTGCCGGAAGGCCACAGAGCGCCGGTCTTTGAATTGCTGGCAATCAAAGCCCAAAAGCAAATTAGTTGTGTCGGCAGTAGTGGTGAAGACAGCAGCGATTTGAGTCAATCGGAATCACCCATATTTGCCACCGGTATTCACTCTTTCTTATGTGTTTCACCATATTTTAAGTTTACTTGTCATTAAATTATTTAACAGTTATTTAAGTGAAACCATGAAAATTGATTAATAATTGGAAATTCAATCACAATTTATCTTTTTATCATAATTTAAATGTCAATCATTTGCTTATATTTGTATTAATAATTGATTAGAAATTATCTCAACGACCACCACATCCGACACAGTAAACGATATTCAGCACAACTATTCAATGAGTCCTAAAATCAATAAATTTCTGACACGAGAACCGCCCGACGGGTGCGAGAAAATCAAGATCGTCAACGAAGATGACAGGTCTGTTGATTATAACCACAATATTGATTGAATAAACATATACTATGTATTTGTTGGCATACATTGTCTAATAATGTGTTGAATATTGTGTCCACTGCACAGAATGAATGCAATGAATTATCACTCAGATGTATCACTCGGTGGTTTCGTGTGTCCGGTGCAGCCGTCGTCCGGTTTCGTATTGCTTCCGAGTCGGAGCTCAGCATTTCTGCCAATTTTCAAACCCAACGACTTTTCTGCCGATTATCTCAAGAATCGAATTAATTACAGAAAAAGTTAAACAAAAATAACACAAAATACTGTGAAAAATGCAAATGTTTTTCATAATATATGTCTGTATTGAGGGAAACATTTGCAAAAACAATGAGAGAAAAGCGCCGTTCGGTTCCGATTCTACAATAAATCTATATTAATATAAACAATAAGTTTTAAGAAAACAAACGAAAAATAGTGTTTTGAAATTTAATTCTAACTCTGAAAATGAGAAACAAAATAAGCAGAGAATATATTATTAATATATTATATATGTTTAAAAATAATTTGATCATTACTTATGAAAAACAGTTGAATACACTTACAAACAAAATATGATATAAATTATATGATAGCTATTTATGGTTTCATTTGATAGTCTTCTACTATTCTAATACTTTATCTAATGTTTATTAGTGTCTATACTATGTTTCAATGTCTCGTTAGGACACATGCATTGATCTAATTCTCCAATAACTATGTCTTCATCGAGTACTTCATGAAGTAGACACACAATCCATACAAATCCATACAAATCAACAACAAAACAGTCATTTTCCGAGAGTAACAGTCAATTGAATGGATAATACAAATAAAACCAAAACATGTTTACGATATCTAATTCCTCGCCATTCAAATCGCATGAAATATGAATCAATCAATCGATACGATTATATAACACAAACAAACAGATCATATAATGTACTAAATACTGTCTGTCGTTATCGTAGTCCTCGCTAACAAAATTAACAACAAATTAATAACTAGTTGTCTCTCTCCCCGTGTATTGTGAGTCGCACTGTCACTATCGCACCGCTATTTTCTAGTAAATTAATTATTTGTATCAATTCTCTAAGTGAACGGACGGGTAGTTTTCTACTACTTTTACTCATTTTACACTCATTACAAAACACTTACTCTCGACTTTTCTGCCCACTCTTTCCCGACCCATCTTTTATACCCCCTTTTAATTGTCGTTATTTTTATCATTTTAAAAATTAATTTTGTTGTAAACATAATTTGTTAAACATATTATGATTTTGTGTCCTCTCGTCAGAACTCGATAATCATTATTATAATTATAATTACTATTATTATTATATAATTGACTCGAATTACTACTATTTTACTACCATTTTATACTCAATTATAATCGCACAACAAATTTTCAAATCAATTTCGATATCGCTTTATATTTAGTAGAGGAGAGCTGTTGGGGACCCGATCTTTACGGGTCGTATGAATGGTGTGATGGGATGGCCACACATCTGGACTCCTAGTGTTCGGGGCGTAAAGTACTGTCAATCGTTTGTCGGTACCTATGCTTCAAACATAAAACACCCGAAGAATACTATGATTATTAAAGTTATATAAAAGTTTGAGTGAAAATAAAATAATACTTTTGCTCTCAAATTATTGACAGTATTTTAACTAAAACAACAATTTAAAAAAAACTTGACATAAAAACACAAAATAATACAAATACTTCATATCAAGAATTTTAATGATAAGTTTGTTGACAAACCCTAAAAGTGTTAACCCGTTTGTGAACATGCATTCCCGTCGCGCGAATCACTCGTATAATTACTACATTAATGTATTCAAACTTTTCAAAACAAATACAACAAAAATACCTAAAACATCAATGATATATAAAATAGCATTTTAATTGTATTTTTTAATTTAGCTTTTGATTTCAAAAAGTAAGAAAAACAAAAATAATCGGACAAACTTTAAGTTATATAACATTCAATTGTATGCCTTTTCAACAACAATAGTAAGCAATAAAAACTAAGTTTTTTCATCATTTTATTCGCTATTTCTTTCACTACAAACAAGAAGACGAGTCTAACACCAAATGTCATAAAATATCATTTTTACGACAGATATACTGTGTTTGAGTGAATCATCAATTGATGCCATTGTAATCGTTTAAGTGGTTTTGATTACACACTTAAAACCTATATTAATAATATTTAATGTGTTTTACATACAAACCTTTAAACCCTTCAAACCGATTGTGATGTTTGATAACAAAGACTACACTTTAATACGTGTAATAATTTGAGAAATAATTTGTTTAAATATGCAAACGATTTATAGTTTTATTACAGGATATGTATTTCGAAATAGATTTTATTTGACTCCTCTAGGATTCACTTTTATCCGCATTTATTGTAAACTCTATTTATATAAATAATTATTATATAATATCTATGAAAGAAGACTTGAAATCAATTTAAACACATAATTCATACAAATAAATGAGTAATTAATGGTATAATTGAAAGATAATTAAATGAAAATAACAGGCAATGAATTGTAACACAAAATGAATACTTTCTCTCAGTTGAGACACAAACGCGAGTCAATCAATACGTTAAGGCTTTTAATCAACGAAAGACTCGGAATTAAAATAACAAATATATATATATTACTAATTATTTAAGGATTTGAAAAACAAAGGGAAAATTGGGAGACATTTACATATATTTTGTAATTAAATTGTGGCAAAAATATAGACATCTCTTCGCCGTCGATCAAAGAAGTGGTTCCCATCGCAAGACTGGTCATCACTTTCCGTATCACTCGTATTGTCTTAGGATTGAAGCAAAGATTCGCTTAAAATATTATTTTCCAAATGAAAACTATATTCTGATTGACTGGCAGTCGATAAGTATTGTTGGATTCGGTCGATGGTCTCAAACGACTTGTTGAGCGCCCGTTGGTTGTTGTCGACGAGCCAGTCGTTGCCGGAGCCCGACATCAGTGTCGTGAAAGGGATGTTATCGATGGGCGAACTGTACGTCTGGGCGCACGTCCTCTGAGCGACGGTCGGCGCCAACGACGACGACGACGGCTGACCCGCGCTTTGGCTGTTGCTGTTGACAATCATCTGCAACGGATCCGCGCAACCCATCAGTTATTACAAGTGAATCACATTCGTTGACAAGTCATACCTCTTGAGTGAGTAGTGTTCCCATTCGGGGATACAATGAGTGGTCATCAGTGGTGTGGCCATCGATGGGTCCATTGGGTGGCAAAACCACAAACGAGTCGTTGTCGGCGCCCGTCGTGTGTGTCGGACCCCCACCGCCAGCGCCCGAAGCGTTGGTCGACTTTTTGCTTCGGCCGAAGACATTGCCCAAGAAGTTGTCCAACATTTGCCGTGTCGTCAGTCAGACAGCGGTTTGTATCAAATATTTGGCCACAAATGAGACGACAAGTGAACCGAAGAAATGGCAAAACAATTGATTTGTGTTTTTGTTGTCAAAAGTGTTTGCAATTCAAGGCATTGAATGACATATGAATGTAATGGCAATCACTCTCTCCTTCACAGTCAGTGCACAAACACACAACTCATACGCATATAACGTATGCTTTTATACACTATAACTGCCCCTAAAAGTAATTCAGTTCTAATTTTAATGTTTTTTAAACTAAATATGTGTTAAATTATATCATTATTAATGCATTTCAAATGCATTACATTTGTCCGATATTTTTAATAGATCTATACTTTAATTGTCAGAACATTTACATTTTATACAATAATATTGTCTATCATTCCATAAACCCGTTGTATTGCATGCGTAACGTTATATGTGAATAGTAATGATTGGAAAGAGTTATTGTATTGAATGCCATCTGTATATTGAATGCAAACATAGAGTAAAGCCTTATATTTATTGTGAAATTTGAATCAACAATACATTCATTTGAAGACCACTTTCACCCGAGACTGCCGTCAGAAGACAGTCACCACTTGATTGATCCGTTCCGACACTCATTACACACACGAAACAACTGTTGACATCTCATATCCGACACACGAGGAAGAAGTGAACGAATTGGTGGCCGAAGAAGAGGACAATGAGTTCGCTGTTGAAGACACCGACCGGTTATCCCGAAGACGTTTACGACAAACATATAAAACACGAGAAACACTATAATCCCGAAGACGTGATCCAATGCTCAGAGACGACGGCATCGACTTCCAGCACCACTTCATCGCAACCCTCACAACAATCACAACCATCTGTTCCGCCAGTCGTACAGTCTGTGAGTTGTGTCTCATTTCACACCTCAAACACAATATAGTGTCTCATTGTTTGTCAATAACAGTATTGTTTGTCTGAATCAATGTCTGTGTTATCTCATGTCTATTCGTGTCACACATGCATTAATGTCTTAATCTCTCTCTCTCTCTCTCTCTCTCTCTCTCTCTCCCCTCCCTATAAGAGCTGAACCCAAACACTCATACACTTTATACGCACACAAAAACTTCATATCTTTTGCATTTATTATAAGCNCTCTCTCTCTCTCTCTCTCTCTCTCTCTCTCTCTCTGTTTTGTTTAATGAATGAATAAGTATGTGATTTATATTTAAAAAGTATAAAAATGATGTTTAATTTGCATTTAAACTTAAATTCTTTTATAAAGCCTTTATTAACAATGGATTGAATTTCATGTTTTGA